CCAAAAATAATAGATGCTATACTATTGGAAATCGCAGAATATTTAGGTAACCAATGGCTTTGAACTCCAAAAAATAGATCAAATCGTAATTGATCAATGATATCAAAAAAGCTGATAAAATCTGCAGAGCAGCCATTTTCTTTTCCCATATGTTTTCAAAAAACTTTAACAGCTTAACTTTTTGATAATTAAAAAAAAAATCGCTAAAAATCGCTGAATGTATCCCCAACACTCACAGATGCACCTGTTCTTCAGCCCCCATTTCTGCCATAAAAAAACAAAATACCTCTAAAATCATTCACATACTCTATTTACGTTTAGATTTTTTCTTTTTTCATTCGTGTTAAACTCCACAAAAATTTTTCGCGTTGCACGTTTCCGTCGAGTTGCATATTATTGGTTTATTTTGACGCGCACGCGCACACTGCATGGCACATGTCAAAACCAAAGCCACCAACATTCAGCCAAACATTTAAGACATCTAAAATCACCAACAACAACAACAACAATCAACGCCACCACCGGCCAACACTAACATAACTAACCACGTTTCCATTCATCTGAATTTCGAGCATTTTCATGCTTGATTTGCTGCACTTGCGATTGAGTAATGTGACAAGTGCGATCGTGAATTTTGCGGTAACTAACTAACGGACTGAATTGAAATTAACCACTGCGAGGTGAAGTGAACTAAGCTGCATGGTGCTGTTGAGTGACAGTGTAGCTGACGGAGTCTAACTGAGTGCTGGGGGCTGACTCGCCACTTCGCTGACTAACAGACTGTTTAACTGATTGCCTGCTCGTAGAACTGCTTCGCTTGCATTCGAGTCGTAACTGACTGTCTGCTAACTATTCTATGTAGTTCATTGATCGATTTAGATTTTAAAATTTTTTATTACATTCGTAATTTTTGTTAGCTATTTCCCATAAAAAGTTATTGCTTGCACTGAATTTTTCTACAAATCGTTATTGCGATTGGGATACATACATACTGCGGGTAGTGAATGCTTTTTTGAATTGCCTTTATAATAAATTATAATTAAAAAATATTCATTTGTAACTAAGGTGTTACTGTGCTAATGGTTTACTAAATATTTTATGATTTAGTGCATAGGTGTTATTAATTATTTCTTCATTTGTGATACATAAATAAGTAGAATAATTTTTACAGCTTTAAGTGCAATTGAAATAGGCAAGCCTTCTTCTCTGACCGTCTTAGGCCTACTGATCTATCGAACTCAGATAATTTTAACTTCAGCTCATCCTGATAGCAATACAAGAATGAGAGCAAAGGTGAATACGTACATAGATAAATAAAAGGTTAAAGGCAAAGGTAAAAATAAAAATAACAAGTAAGAAAGTCTAAGTTCGGGCGGAGTCGAACACTAAATACCCGGCGCAGGTACCGCTACACGCTACACGGTGTGTATCAGTTTTGAGTAAATTAGCGTCCTTAAATTTCGAAATATTGAAGTTTCAAGCATTTCTGAAATTTGCCGTTATATGAAAAGTGGTCGTAATTTGAATCTGATTCCAATAATTTTCAACGTTTTGCTTCTATGTGGCAAGCACAATAATCATACATTACATACAAGTGCGCTCGGGTATAAAAACAAAGATGCGTAAAGATAAAGGCAAAAATGAAAACCAAGGTGAATTTAAACACTTTACTTATATAAGGGCAAAGGTGAAGGGGAATATTTAGATGATGAAAATTATAAACAGAAAGGTAAAAACAAAGAAAAATATTAACATAAAGATGAGGGTGAGGAACCCGATAAAATTAAAGATGATGTTAGAGGAAGAGAGGTTAAAATAAAGGTAATTACAGAGAATGGATATATAGACACAGAGACTTAATCTGGGAACTATTTCGGAATTTTCAAGATTCTCGGGATTCTCGGAACTTATCGATATAATAATCGATATTTTTATCGGTTTTGTATCGAAATTTTTATCGATATTTTTATCTTTTCTGTTATCGATATTTTAATCGATCTTACTATTGAAATTTTTATCGATATTTTTATCGATATTATTATCGGTTTTGTTATCGATATGTTTATCGTTTTTGTTATCGAAATTTGTATCGATTTTCTTATCACTATCTTTATCTGCCCTTTTATCGAAATTTTTATCGATATTTTTATCGATTTTGTTATTTTTGGTCGATTTTGCTATCGATGTTTTTATCCAATTATGTAGTTATCAATATCTTTATCGGTTTTGTTACCGATATTTTGATGGTTGTTACTATCGATTTTGTTATCGATAGAGTACAAAGATAAAGGAAAACAGAATAACATAAATTCAATTAGAGTGAACAGGATGGAGGTAGGGATTAGAGATGGGCAAAACACGTGATTTTCTACGTGATACTTCGAGTCACGCTTTTTCACGCGTAAGTGGTTTTGAGAGAAAAATCACGGAACTTCCGTGTGCTCGTGCGTGACTGAAATTTTAGTTGGCGTGGGCGTTCGTGAATTAGATTTACCGTCAGTCACGTAATTTTCGCATATCGAGCCCCAACCACCAAAAAGACCGAAGCGAATTTTTTTTTTAAATTTTCTTTTTGATAGAAAAAAGTTGTTCTAAAGCATCTAGATGCATTTCTATGTCAATATTAAAATTTTGAAAAAATGTCGCTTACATCTTTTTGGCGGTTAGGGCTCGATGTTTATGTGTGTATGTGTATGTTCAAACAAAATAAAATCCTAAACTATGTACTACTATTTAACTTATTTACTGTATATACTTTTGACGAATTCAAACAGAAACAGTTTTTGAAGACATCAATGCGGAAATGCAGATTTATTTGAGAAAATAGGAAAACAAAAGTTGTGACGACGTTTTAAAATTTTGGGAGAAAAATTTGAAATACTTGTATTTGAAATACTTAACAACTCTGCTCCTGGAGTATATTGTAATTATAAAATTTTGATATTCTAGCAAATTTCTTTTTAGTAAAATTATACATTTTACAATAGGCATAACGATAAGTTGCCCTAAAAATAACTAAAGATCAATTGGTCGAAATATCGAAGCACTGGAGTTTTAAATTATACTGAACCCTTAGCTTACTTAACGCTTTATCATTCTAACAAATATTTTCAGGTTTTGTAATGCCACAAGCAGTATTTTGTACTTACTTATGAATCGAAGCAAAAATTAAGCATATAATATTTTTGTCACAGCGAATTTAAAATTTTTCCCATTACTTCAGAGTACACGCTTTTTCTTAAGTCTAATGCTTTTTTATTATTTGTCTAATCTTTTTTTTGGTTTTTTTTCTAAGTTTTAAAGCCCACTAATGCTGTTCTGCGCAATGCTTTTGCGGTCAATGCGGTGCCTGCCCGCCTTCATTCTTCACCGCCGCTCTGTTGTCCACTCAGTTTTACTAACGAATTTTAATGCAAATTTTGTATTCATTATTAAATATTTTTGTGGTTTCGATATTTTGCTGTTCGCTGTGCTGGTATTTCGTCAGTTTTGTTTTGAATTTTGTGATTTTTCACGCTCGTGATTTGTATAAGATTTACAGCTGCTGTTGACGATCGTGTTTACACTTTGTCACCCAACTGATTGTACCTGATTTATTTATGACTGTTTATTTTTGGTTTTTGCTATGCAAGGCAGGTCAATCTGTAGCCCGAAAAGTATGACAAAACAAAAGGCTGGAAATAAAATTAAAATAAATCTCAGCTTTGATTACTAAATTTGGTGTAATTGTTTTTTTTTGTTTTTTTTTTTAAATTTATGCCAAATTTGTGTCGACTGCAAGACTTTATGTATGTAAGTCGCAATTAGAAAAAAAATATATAATTTGGTCATTTGTATGTTGAAAATTTAAAAGACATGTTTGATCTTAAAAATACATAAATCGTTACCTGAAATGCAAAAGGCCATAACTAAGAAAAAATCTAAAATTTTCTAAACGATTGATTATGATACATTTCATCGAATTACAAGTTGGGGCTGCAGCTTTTTCATTAATATACTATTTTTTTTTTTGATAGCGAAAACGGAGCCGACTTCATCTTATAAATTTTTAGCAGTTAAAGCCCCGTTTTCGAGATCAAATTCGTTCAAATATTGTTGAAATGTGAAATGAGACAAAATTTTGTTTAAAAATTTTAACAAAACTCCTAACAAATTTAGGTAAAATTTTAAAAATGATCGAAAAAGGTAAAGTTCTTATCCATACTACATATTTACATTAGGGTGCCTCACCAAAAAAAGTTGCGGGTTTTGCAACGGAATTAAAAAATTGATTTTATTTCGTGACTTCAACCAAAATATTTCTTAAAAATGGAAAAAGAGTACAGATTTTTTATTTATTTATTTTTTTTTTATATAGAGAGTGATGCACCCGAATGTACATTACGGTGGTCCAAAAAAATATTTAAATTCGTAAAATTTATGCTTATTTCCTTGAAATAGGTTCCGATGGAAAAAGAGTACCGATTTTTTTTTATTGAGAGTGATGCAGCCGAATGTACATTACGGTGGTGCAAAAAATATTTAAATTTTGAATTTTCATGCTTTCGTCCCCTGGCAGTGTTTTATACCGAAAAAATATACCCCTGTTTTATATTTTCAAATCATAAAATAATAAGAGGCTGCTCAAAACGCTCAAAGTTGCCCATGTCTTTAAACGGGAAAAACTATTTTTCATAGTAACGGTATAGAATGCTTTTGATCAATATTTTGCGATCAGAAAACTCTGTTTTCCTTCAAAAGTTTTCCAATAAAAAAAATACTCATAAAAAAAGTTTACTCCTGCTTTGTATGTAGAAGAAACGCCTAGAGCCGTCAGCAAAAAAATTATTAAAATTATTATTATATTTATACTAAAACTGAATGACCCTGAAAATGTTGCACAGTGTTATTTGTAACTAAACCAAGAACTAACTTCCATTCCATTATTTTAGACTTAATTCAGTTAAAGCCAAAAATCTTATTTAACAATACCTTTCCCTGTTTTATCTTTACAGAGCAACAATTCGTCAACAAATTCCACAGCATTGAAAATATACTGTAGCAACAAATATTATCCGGACATTGAATAGCAACCGCCTTCCTTGCACACCGCTCGTACATCGCTGCGCCCCAACGGATGCGCGGCGCTACGTCACAGCCACTAAATGATTGGCACGGATGAAATGTCATCCACTGGCATGGATATATCGGAATCCTTTCGTGCAGAGGATCTTACAAAAACGGATTTTTTCGATTTCGTCACAGCGCCCGACATGGGCATCGGCATCGGTGTCGGCGCAGATGTGGTCGACATCGGTATGGGTGTGGGTAGCTTGCATGCGGGCAATGCAAGTGGCGGCCCACACCAGCAGCATCAGCAACAACATTCACATCATCATCAGCACAGTAGTCACCACCATCAACAGCAACAGCAACAGCAACAGCAGCAGCAGCAGCATGCGCATCATCAGCAACAACAACACAGTCATGAACAAAGCAATAGTTTAGCGGGTAGTATGCCACACGATGGTGGAGGTGGCAGCGGCGGCGGTAGTGGTGGTGGCGGTGGTGGTGGCAGTGGTGGTGTCGGTGGCGGTGTCGCTGGCCGTGTTAGTACCCCAGGCAATGCCAACAGTTGCATAGATGGCTCAGATGGTAATAGTAATGGCACCAGCAGTGATCCGACGTTGCAGGGCTATGAGGTGAGTAGATTTCAAGCTGGTAGAACCAAGCAATGGTTTTGGTTTTAAGTAATTTATGGGGAAAGAAAATGAAAAGTACCGAATTGTATCTACTATGTACCAACTAAGCAAATCCGCCATTGTTCTGAAATATAGCGATTCGTCCAGCTACCACACAGGGATGCTAAAGTGTGCCTTGATACCTCAGGTCAGCATAACAAGTTACTGGTATGCAGCCTGGTCCTTTTGCATATAATTTAAAACTACGACCCAGTTGACCACCTGGTCCTCAAATGTTTGCGGGGTATATATTAGGGATGTTTATTTTTCGGCTTTTTCCGATCCCTGGATTTTAGGGATGGCGTTGTGACAATCCCGGGATTAGTTCCGGTATTTAGGTATTCATTACTTTTCAACAACTTTAATCGAAAAAATTGTTTCTATATTGTTAGAGAAGCTCTCCTATCATGAAATAAATAATAATAAATGGGTTTGAAACATACTCTTTTATTTAAAGTGGCGTTTTTATTTTTTTTCCTCTGGATTTATTTTGAAGGACTTTGTAATTTCAAAGATATGATTAATTCCAAAAATGGTTAAAAAAATTCAATACAATGTAGAATAAAAATATGGGTATCAAATGCAAGAGGAAATTTCGTTAGAAATTAAAATAATTAAAATTTTTTGGATTCACAAGAACGAATAGATAGGTATTTTTTTAAGCTGACAAAGTTAGAAGGATGAAATTTGAGGATGTTATCAAAAACAAATATTGCGAAATTTCAAGGACAAAATTTTAAAATGAAATTTTCAATATTTACCCTACTGCACCAGAAACTTGAATCTGTTTAAGTTAAGTTAAATTTTATACCCATACTTCTTCTCTAAGCACATTTCTCTGAACTTTTTAAATCATTTGTCAATTACTGACGTCAGAGTGAAAAACTAAAAATGCAATTTTATTATATTTGGCCCATGGATTTGCGAATATATTGATATTTGTGTTTAAAATTTACTATCGCGCGGTGTTATATGTATAATGAGCTAGACATTTATAAAAAAAATATTAACTATTAAATAAAAAAAAATAGCCAACACTGGTCAATAATTACAAATTCCGAAAATCCCGGGATTTTCGAGACCTTAAAATGTCCGGTATCCCGAAAATTTAAAATTTTCGCTATCACTATCTGGTTAGCGCTAAGAGAACGAAAATTTCAATATCACTGGTTAATTACACTAGTTACAAATTTAAGAAAATTTGGCGATCTGTGTGTCTTTTGTAAAAAAAAATGCCGATAATCGGTACAAAATAATTTGTTTTCCTAATTTTTGAGAAGAGCTTTACCAAACGAAAAGGATAGCGAAAAAAATTACAAAATCAGGTTTGAAAAACAATGAAAAAGGTTCAATTTGAAATTTGCACTACAGTTGATATTAAGAAATTAAGTTATAAGAAATGTCAGTCAGTCTTTCTTTTTTTGGGATTATATTGCGAAAATTTAATTTTGTGAAACGACCGAAATTTCCGAAAGCCATTCATTGCTAAAAAATTTGTTTAAGCAAAACTTCTTCCAAATTAAAGCCAATCGGAAAAAAAATTATCAAAATCCCTTAGGTAGTTTTCATGGACTAACATTTTTAAAAATTATTCACTCTATTTTTTAATGAATTATGGCAATTTTTTACTAACTCGAACCGTAAGACGAAGAACCCTCCGATTTGCTCAGACGAAATAAGAGATTGTCAATGGGATGAATATAGGGCCGCTGATTTGACAAGATGGAGATGGCGTAAGTAAAAATTATCGGTCGGCATTGCCAGTTAAATATTGCAATTAGAACTTAGATATATTATTAAAAAAAAAAATCGCTTTACAAAACATTTTCGCCAGCCGTTGCTTATGTTTAAGCAAACCAAATTCGAAAATTAAATTATTCAAACCAGTCGCAGAGACAAGCAAGTCGTTTTACCACTAAAAGCATTATTATTGGTGGTTTTTTAAAGCACAAATGCATATGCGCATTTCCAAAGTTACATACACATATGAAGACACATGCCATTTTACAACTCCTGCCACAGAAATAAAAGAAAAACAAACTTTGAAGACAAAAAAAAACAGTGAAAAACGAAGAAAACACAAAACAAACAAAAAGGCGGCAACAAGTTTGTTGCTTAAGTCTTTTGTTTGGCCAGTGCGCAAGCACAGCAAACTACATACATACATACATAAAACTCGATAAACAAAACAAGAATCGCATAGAAATGAAAAGACTTTCAAACTTTTTCTTCGCCATAAGCAATTTAATATTCGAAGCGCTGCTGTGTTGCGCACACACACACATACGCGCATGCGCTCAACTACCAGCCTACCAGCTGCCTGTCTGCCTGCCTGCATACATACATATGTTTGCACTTTCTATGACCGAACGCGCGCATTCAAATACCGCATTGAAACAATGAAGTCGCCGCAGTTGCCACAACTTCTGCCTGCGCGCAGCTACTGGACCAAGTAGGGTTACTTACTTACTCGCCCGGCTGACTGTTCGACTACCTATCTGGCAGGCTGCCTGTCCACTCGACTGCTCATTCAATATGCTGTGTAGTTGCGCTGTGAAAGCAGCCACCATCCAAGTCATGGCAAATGCAATACGCAGTAGCCAGCGCCAGCTGCCATATGGCTCGTGCCCCAGCGCATGTGGCGATGGTGTTTGGTTGCAAGTTTGCTGTTGCATGCAGCACGTGCCATGTCAAATTTTGGCTATGCCCTGCAAGACTATACGTATGGACATAAAGCTGCTGCTGCTTGCCTCAAAGTTTTTAAGTAGCTTTCTTACTGCTGCTGCTACTGCATGCATTTATGGCACTTCACCTAATTCGGCTGGGCGCTCACCTTTCAGGCACTTGCTCTAGTTTTTTTTTTCCTTTTGTACTTTTGTTTCACTTTTCTTCCTTTTCTACTCTCGTACGCCGCCCTCCCGCGCACTCGTTTCAATCGAGAAGTAACAAGCAATCTCTACAACAACAGCATTATGTTTGCAACAGGATGTTTGTAGGTGCAACATGGGTAACAACAACTGTTAGGCTGTTTTAGTTGCAACGGTAGCCGTAGTTTTGGTTGCAACGTATACATTGATAGCCTTGTCTGCCATTCTCGGCGGTCAAACTGTTCAAGTCGAGGTGTGCTGTACGTCAATCGATTGTTTCTTTTTTCCACTTCGCTGCCTTTCTTTTGTGCCTTTTTTATGTTTGTCTTATTTTTGCTACTGTGTCAGCAGTGATATCTGGTTGCGGTCACTGCTGTTGATTTGGCTGATTTTTCCCGTTGCCGCTTGTTTAGTCTTTTTGTTGTTGTAAATGCTGCACTTTGATTTTGTTGCTTCAATTTACTCGCCTGTCGATTTACGCGTAACATTTCTTATTTTTCTGCTGTATTGGATTTATACTCTGTGGCATTTAAAGCCGACAACTGACATGACAGCAACACTGGTTGATTGTTGTTGTAATGACTTATAATTTTTTTTGCCGGTTTGTTTTTTGCTATGAAAATAACATAATCTTAAAATGTCCAGAATGGCAGGAATATATACGAGTAGTACACTTGATATCGACTTGAAGGAAAAAACTTCAAAACCTGTACCTTAAGATTGCGATTGTGACAATTATATTGAAAGCACTTTTCTGTCTTTCGCAAGGTCAACTGATTTGTCAACGAGGATAACTTTGCGTTTTTCTGCATAAATCTTAGCAAAAAGTCTTTTAAAAATTAATTTAAATTAAAAAAAAATATATATATATATATATATCGTCTTTAAAGAATAAAAATTGAATGAAATTCAAAAAATGTATAAAATATAATTTTAAAATTAAATGATTATTAAAAGAAATTTTTGTTTTTAAACCAATAAAATCTAAAAATTATAATAAGTTAAAATAAGAAAACAAGTTCTTCAAAATTAAATTAAATTTAAAAAATATTATTCTACTTTTAAACAATAGCTACTAAATATTAAAAGAAATTTAATTAAAAAAATTATTTAAATAAAGAAAAATTAAATTAAATAAACAAAAAAACTAAAATCAAAATAAGAAAAAATTAATAAATAAGTTTTAAAAATTAAATTATTATTAAAAAATTACGTTGGTTTTTTAAACAGTAAAATCTGAAAGTTAAAATAAAAGTTAAATTAAAAAAATAAATAAATAAAAAAAAAAACAAAATAAGTGCGTAAAAACTAACCGAAACTGAAAACAAATATGTTTATGTCTTTAAAATTATGTAATAAAAAACATCAAAGAAAATAAGATAAATAAATAAATTAACTAATAAATAAAAACAAAATACATAAGTTCTTCAAAATTTAATGAAATAAAAGAAATTAGTTTTCTTTGTAAAATAATGAAATCTAAAATTAAAAGATAAAAAATTAATTAAGAAAAGATGGTTTTTGAAATTAAATGAAATTAAAAAAAAATATATATTTTTCTTTTTAAAACAATAAAGTCTAAAAATATATTTAAGAAATATGAATAAAATAGAAATTAGAATAGAAAATCAAATAAGTAAATTAATATTAAAATATACATACAAATGTATATAAGTACATATGCATTTTTTAAAAACAATAAAATCATAAAATTAATTTAAAAAATACAAATAAAATAAAAATGAGAAAATAAAAAAGGTTTCTTAAAATTAAAGATTATATAAATTTTTCTTTTTAAAACTATAAAATCTAATAATTAAAAAAAAAAATATTAAAGAAGAAAAATAAATAAATTTGAAAAAGAAAACCAAAATCCGCCAGTGCTTGTTCATTCGGTCATTGCGACTGTTGAAGCAGCCTTGTTATCGCCGAGCTAACATAAGCCAAATTGTTCAAATATGCACCACAATTATATCGCTTCAACCTTTTGTCATGCAGTCAACCGCATTTTCAGTATGGCTGTACGATTTGCCAAAAAAGTCTAGTTACAAAGTAGTAAAAGAGTGTTCAGCCATTCCCTAACCAATTTTTAGTGCTTCATCAGAGAACTCATTGGTCTGATAGCCTGAAAAGCGCTGAGGATGCCTGGCAGCCTTAGCTTGATGAGGTGCTCATGGCAGATGCCCACTTCGCCAAAGTTTCCATCTGATTCGACCAAGTCCTCACTCAGTCTGCGCATATAAGAACTATCCGCCAACATGTCGCCTCCCCCGCTTTTTCGCGACTTGAAAAGTGGTATCGAGCCATTCATGGCTTATAAAGTTCTAAGCCAGAAGAAACTTTGCTTCACCGGACTTAATTAAAAATTTGGCTGTTTGACTCACTTAGATGTCAAAGTTCTGGTGTCCACAAGAGTCACGAATTTTTGGCCTTATGGAGACTTAGCGGCCACTATGGGTCCAGGACTAAGATACTAGTAGACTGCGGATGTTTATGCAGGGAACTAAGCCTAAAAATATTAACCCTGTAGCCGTCAGAGTTTGGCCAGTGGTGAGATTGAAAAGAAACTATATTTAAGAGTAAATTTTTTTTTCGGTAACAGCCAAGTGGCACTTTCCTTAGTCCGAAAGCGCGTAGACATAATTTCCCCCCATTTCTAAATCCTTGAAAAATATTCAAGATTGTCAAAAAAAACTGTGCCTACAACTATGCCGTAATTGGTAATTTTTAAATTGTGTTTTTTTTTTGTGGTATAGTTTTAGGCGCAGTTTTGTTGAGAAATATTTAAGCTTTTCAAAAAATCGTGGCCAATGCTCTAAGCAAAATTATATACTGCTAATTTAGATACCACGCCACAAAGGCATAGAGGGTAATAAGGATGCAGATAGGTTTGCTAGATAGACACCAGCTTCAAAGGCGATTTTTCCCGGTAGTTCACCACTATTAAAAATGAGTTCAGTAAATTGAAAAATATCACTGGCGTAAAAACCAGACCAGTAAAATCCAAGGTCGTTTAACTACAATAAAATATCTGTAAGGGGCCATTAAGAATCTGACGGGTATTTACAAATGAACGGTACGTTATAATTGTATCTCTGCGGGCTAGGAATATTGCCGAACGAATTCCGTCTCATTTGCAAATCGGCCATAGAGACGACACCTCAACTGCTTCTGGAGTGCTACGACATCTCCAGGAGGCGTGAAAGATTTTTCCCTCGTTATGAGCAAAGCAAGTGCAAGACTTTTTATAAAGAAAATACCAACAAACAAATTGAGGCATATGAAAATATTAGTTACTTTTTAATTAAGTTAACATTTTTCTCAATTAAACTTACATTAACTCGAAATACTTTTCCTTCTACCCTTTTCCAGTTTTGGCACACTGACAAAGATGCGACCAGTCGTTTGGATGCCACCATCTTCGAAGACCTCGACCGCTATTGTTGGCAGCAGCAGGCCGTTTCCGCTGCAGCGGCATCACCAGTCGCCACAACAACAACAGCAACCACACACCAACATCGCTCCACACCCGCTAACAGTACACCGCATTCCGCGCACCTACACAGTCCAACATCACCAAGTCATACGCAACAACAGCATCTACACCATCAGCCACATCATCAACATTTGCACTCGCAACAACAACAACAACAGCGACAAATGTCACTCAACAACAGCAGTTCCTGTGCACAAAGTGCCAATCAATCCACAAACAGCAATGCGCCAAATAATAGCCATAGCAACAACAACAACATAAATAGCAACAGCAATGGCAGCAGCAGCAGCATGGCGGTGGACAATGCCGATGGACAAATTTACACAATCACAGTATTAAATGGCAATGAGCCATGGCTGAAGCGAGAACCAGAGAATCCAGCTGGCCAATTGTCCAGCACACTGGATCTGGATTGTCTGTTGGGTAGCTTTCCGGGTTACATAAAATCAGAGTATCCCTACGATGAGAATCCAGGCGGCTATGGCACAGCGGAGGGCAGCGGTAGAGATGGTAGCGGTAGTGGTGATATGGTCAATAGTCTGGGAATGGGAACGACGGGTAGTGCGGCGAGTATGCATGGCGGTGGTGGCGGCAGTGGGAGTGGTTTAAATAGTCAAAGATTGCCTTCGCTGGTGACGGCGATATCGATAGCTAGTGGTATTGGTGGAGTGGGTGGTGTGGGTGGTGTGGCGAATTCGACGCACTCGCAGTTGGCACAATTTCAGAACAACAACAATGACTGGCATATGGCCGATCATAATGCTGAACAGGTGAGTGAGAGTTAGCGAATGAAGCAAAATTTTTAATAGCCTACGACTTTTATTATTTTGAGCAAGGAGAATTTCACACTTTTTACACCGACACTTTTTAAATACCGATAAGTCCAAAAAACTCCGAAAAACTCCGAAATCGTCGAAAAAGTGAAAAGTCCCTAAAAGTCCAAAACATAAACCAAATTGCCACAAACGAATTCTAAAAGTAACAAAAAAAAATTAGAAAAGTACCCATAAATTGGTATTACTGAAATTTAAAAATATCCAAAAAAAAAATTAGAATTCGAAGAATATCGAAAAGTCTTAAAAAAAATACTGCACGATCAATAGAAAAACTCGACGACAAATCCCGAAAATATCTAGAAAGGTTCCTACCAAAAATCGCAAAAGCCACTGAAAAGGAAAAAAACCGAGGGTTCCCGAAAAGGCCCGAAAAATCCATAAAACTCCCGAATAGTCCCAAAATTTACCGAAAAACCCCGAATAGTTACACACAATTAGTCGCGAAAAAAATGCTAGGAAATGCTCTAACATCTTTCCCAAATATCTTTGAACAATCCTGAGGCCTCTCCAATTTCTATCTTAAATCCATGGAGCCTCTAGTTAATCTGCACATCAGGAACGTCTAGGTTGTTGGGCTCATACACATAATCAGTAACAAAGCTGTCGCGGCGAAGCGATAAAAATCGAGTCTGGGAGCTGGAAGAGCAACTTTGCTCACTAGAACTGAGGTTGGAAATATCCCTATTTATTGACAGCCTTGTTGATTGAAAGCTCTCCTATTTCATTACGTTCAGTTATCTATGACAATTCACTACTATGTACTTCGGAATTATTTACTACAGAGCCTAAAAAACTCTGCTGCTATAGGCAGTTTCTCACACAATAGATTTAAAAAAAGTGAAATTTCATTTTATATCCCGTGTACATACATATATAGCTCCCCATATTATATGAGTCTGTTTGTGAATAATAATGAACACTTATCTTAATGTTGATGTAACTCTAAATTTAAATTTCAATCTTAACTTTAATCTCAATCTTAGTCTTAATCTTAGTCTCAATCTTAATCTTAATCTTAATCTTAATCTTAATCTTAATCTTAATCTTAATCTTAATCTTAATCTTAATTTTAATCTTAATCTTAATCTTAATCTTAATCTTAATCTTAATCTTAATCCTAATCTCAATCTTAATATTAATCTAAATCTTGATATTAATCTTAATTTTAATTTTAATCCTAATCATAATCTTAGTCCTAATCTATCTCAATCGTAACCTTAAACTTAATATTAATAGATATTAATATTATCTTTATCTTAATCTAAATCTTAATCTTCATCTTTCTACTAATCTTACCAGGTATTAGTCTAAATATCAATCTCAATCTTAATCTTGATCTTAATCTTAGCTATAATCTTAATCTTAATCTTAATATTGGTCTTTATGTTTATCTGAATCCTAGTCTTAATCTTAATTTTAATGTTAATCGTAATCTTAATCTTAATTTTAATCTTAATCTCAATCATTATCTTAATCTTAGTCTTAGTTTTAAACTTAATCTTAATCCTGATCTTAATCTTAATATTATTCTTAATCTCAATCTTAATCTTAAACTAATTCTTAATATTAATTTTTACTTTTATCTTAATCCTAATATTGATCTTAGTCTTAATTTCAACCGTAACCTTAATATTAATCTTAATTCTAATCTTACTTTTAATCTTAATCTCAATCACTATCTTAATCTTAGTCTTAGTCTTAATCTTAAACTTAATCTTAATCCTGATCTTAATCTTAATATTATTCTTAATCTCAATCTTAATCTTAACCTTAACATTATTCTTAATTTTAATTTTAACCTTAGTCCCAATCTTAGTCTCAATCTTAGCCTTAATCTTAATATTAAAATAAATATTAATATTATGATGTAATGTGGAACGATTTTCCGTCATCCCTTGTCAAATTTGGTTTGTAGAGAAACCGGTTTCGGCGTTGTGCCATCTTCAGTGTCATTTTTCGTTCGAAAATGAGAATATTAATATTATCTTTATCTTAATCTAAATCCTAATCTTCATCTTAATCCTAAGCTTAACAGATAGTAATCTTAATGCCAATCTTAATCTTAATCTCTTGCTTAATCCTAATCTTAATTTTAAACCTAATCTTAATCTTAATCTTAATTCTAATCTTAATTTTGATCTTAATCTTAATCTTACTCTTAATCATTACCTATTTATATTCTAGTCTTAATCCTTATATTAACATTATTCTTAATCGCGTCCAACGCCCGGCGCCATCACTTTTCCTCGTCTGTCGGTTTTTTGTTTCATTGGAATTTGGAATAAGACCCCAACGATCGTTTACATAGATGTTTGCAACCCAACCGAGTGCAAATAAAAGTATACCGTCATCGATTTAGAAATAAGTAAAGCATGCTTCCTTAAGAATGCCCATAAAATCCCCTGCCTAATTATTATATATTCATGCGGTAAGACTTGGAGTCAACGCACCAGAACTTCCTCGTAGCTCCAATGGCAGCAGCATTAGATTGCGGATAAATAGGTGACTAGGGAAACAAGTTCTTTCTAGGTTGCAATCGAGGGCACTATTTTAACAGAATTATGTACTTTACAAAGTTATACGTTGCTGTAGGAGTTATTTTCTGCTCAAAATTGGGAAGCTGTTTTGAAACTCAAAAACGCCCTTTTAGTAGTTTCAATCATAATCTTTTCTTTACCTCTTTTACGCTTCTTTCACAGAATTCCGCTGAGTCTTTGCTGCGTAGTGCCCTCCAAGGTAAGGGTTATTCCAAAGGTATACACATGCAAAATGGCATCTCACTATTGCCTTCATCACCCACAGTTAAAGAGGACGAAATGCGGCGGCTGCTTTTTCCGCCAGATACGGTGAGTAAATAGTTTTGCAGAACGCTTAAGAGGAATTATTTTAGAGTTTTTTTCACTTCCGAGGGATCATACGATAGATGAATGGCATACGTCGAGTGTGTTGCCGAGGTTAAAAATTAGAGTGAAGTCTTAAAAGGATAGAATAGGATAATAGATATAGAAATGCATACATAGGATTTTTATTTTTATTTTTTTTTTTTTTGTTATTAAGCATTGTAGTAGTTCTGACCAGGGTCATATAGAATGCGAGCTATCAGGTTAAGCAGGGCAGAAACCTTATCTCTATGTTATTTATTGTTAAAATTAAAACGCACTCGAAAACCCCTCAATATTCGTTCCTTTCCTTCCACAGGACACACTTTCCTTTGGCGACTCAGGCCTCAGCGCAGCACAAATGTTCGACGATACACATCCTTCGCATTTGGTGGGCAGCCAACATCCGAACGGCAGTATGGGCGTGCCATCAGGCGGCAATGCTGCCAACAGCACCGGCGTGTCCAGCCTCATGGTCGACGATATGTTCCTATCGCTAGAAAGTGCCTTCAGCGACGACTTTGACAAAATCAAACGCATCGCCAACGAAGTTGAACAATTCTGTTCACCCACATCCCGAGGCGATTATGGCAGCAGCGATGTGTTGATGCAAATGTCGCCAGCTGCCGGTGTGGGTGCGACAAGTGCAAGTGTGCAACAACTGCAGCAGCACCAGCAACTGCACTCACCCGCAACAACACCCACAAGCATGACACATCAGCAGCAGCAGCAGCAGCAACAATTATCGCCATTGCCACAAACGGCTGTACCTGCGCTACATATGCCCAACCCGCAACAACGCGCGCTACACGCACAACCCCAAACAGCTACAAGCAAGTCAGCGTCCGCAACGAGCGGCGGTAGCGGCAGCGGCACCACCAAAGTGACCAAGAAGTACAAGCGCTCGACGTCGAGTGCGCACCACCACAACAACAACAACAACAATCCCAATGTGATAAATCACAATAGCAACAACAGTGGCACTACGAGTGGCGGAAACAACAGCAGCGTTGGTGGTGGCGGCGGCAACAGCGCTGCGAATGGCACAAATGGCCCAGCCAGCGGCGGCAGCAGTTCCAGCAACAGCAGCAACAGTCCCACACACTGCAATGGACAGCGTAAAGAGCGTTCGCTACACTATTGCTCCATCTGCTCGAAGGGCTTCAAGGACAAATATTCGGTGAATGTGCACATACGAACACACACCGGCGAGAAGCCCTTCACCTGCTCGCTCTGTGGCAAGAGTTTCCGCCAGAAAGCGCATCTGGCCAAGCACTACCAAACGCACATGGCGCAGAAGCACAATGGCGGACTGGTGAAAGGTGGTGGTGGTGGTGGAGGCGGCGGCGGCGGCGGCGGCGGTGGCAGCGGTGGTAGCGGTGGTGGCGGTAGCAGTTCTAGTAAACATCAGCGTGCATCTGCAGCAGCAGCAGCAGCAGCGGCGGCGGCTGCAGCGGCAGCGCAATCAGCTGCTAGTAGTGGTGTGGCAGGAATAGTAGGCAGCAGCAGCTTATCGATTGTGCCTAATAGCTGCGCTGGCAGCGTAGTAGCGGCGGCTGTACATCAACGTCAGCTGAGTGTGGCCACATCGCTGGGGTTGGCTGCTGGCGGTGTACGCGCTGTGGCCGGCGGTGTTGTCTCCTCGCTAGCTGTTGGCGGACCAATGAATGGACCCGCTCTTGCTGCCGTGAATGCCAATGTCTTGCCACCAGCAAATGGCTTGCTGACGAATAGGTAAAAGTACGTTAATTAACAGTGATTGATTTTTACATATGTAGCTCCTTAAATCAAGTTCATTTTATTACAAACATAATTCTCTCTTGTTCCTAATGCTCAAAACAAATACTCCTATGCACAAATACTGCTATTGCCACATACAATGTTTGTATGTGTATACTCACATATTGCTACTACTACTAGTTTCCCTATCTGTTTATTCTAGTTTAAAGCTAAATTGAAACTTAAAATATTTAAGCTTAGCATATTTTTAGATGTCAAAGTGCCTAATACTTTATAAATAGTCCTACTTATTCGTGAATATTTTACTTTACAACTTCTAACTCATCGAATTTATCTGTGCATTCCTATAAACTACATATATATATAATGAATAGGTATATAGGTTCATACATAAGTTTAAATTGAAAGGTATTGATTCAAGTTTGGGAGATCTTTTTAAAAAACTTGTTTAATTGCACAGTGCAACAATCAAATAATGATGGCATCAAGGTCAATTGCATTCATTTCGGGGGATCAAAATGTGAATAAATACCAAAGGACTTGCAAAAGTTGTTTACCATTTAAATATTTATATCCAAAAGTGGAATTTACTCTTCAAAATAGTTCAGAGCCGTCACTGAATTGAGTAATACAGATTTTTTTTTGCTGACATTTCGAGCTACAAATCGGCATACTCAAAAAAATTCTAAAAAATCTGATTAAAGAGTCGAAAATTTGCATGAAAATTTACTGAATTTTCGCGAGTTTTGCACAAAGTTTAGGAATTACATTTTTATGTTTTTTGTTGTAGAGTGAACCATATTTAAACAAAAAATTGGCGGAAAAATATTAGAAAAAGTTTTGCATATATTGTGAAAAATTTGCTGTGCAGGCAGTGTACCTAAAATTCATATAAAAATTAAAAAAAAATAATTATTTTGGTGGCAATTTTTTCATAACATTTTAAAATTTTCTTGTGAATTTTTTTTTGTTTTGGAATAACCCTATAACTGTTTTCAACTAATTTTTGACTAATTTGTGAAAGATTTATTAATAGGAACAGCAATTTCTTCTTTCCTTGCACTTTGCACTTAAAAGTTTAATACAAACAAATAAAAATTCAAAAATCGGGCTGAACAATTGTTTCGGTGTGGCACTTCAACAGAACTCCTTTAAACAAACCGAACTGCATCAAAATTATCATATCAAAAAACTGCTAACAAATTTAAAAAAAGAATTATACACTATCATTTTGGGATCCTCTTCTTCTTATGGTTGTAACAGTCATTATTCAATTATTCCGAAAAACAAATATGTTTGTATGTATGTATTTAAAAAATATTTCAATAGAAGTTCGGAGACTAAGCTATCCTCTGTTAAAAATTGATTTCAGCCCAAAAAAATGTGTTCGTGGTGGTTTTAAATTCAACAGCCTTTTATAAGGAAATGATTAGTTGCTTTAAATGGATTGTCCCCCTGGTGACAAGCAATTAGTGCAAGTTTGCCATTTTGATTCAACAACTCGTGCAACCTAGAGGCATTTAGCGGCTTTAATAAATTTCAGTACCTCATACAGAGAAAAATGCAATACAGAAATGGTTTGCCGAGTGCCCTCGGGCCATCGCAACTGCGACAGAAACTATTGCACACTGCAGTAAATTTGTAGCCATCTTTTTTGCTTATTCCTAAGAGAGATTTGGTTTTAAGTGGGTCGTAGGACACGCAGAACTGCCGAGTAATCCTGTAAGATCCTGCGCGATTCGTCCTCTGCTTGGCCTTCGAGTGATAAATTTCATAAATTGTTTTGTCTTAATCTCTCTGAGCGAGGCGCCCATATCCACCGCGTGGGACACATTCAGTGCGGAGATTCGACTGGACCACCTCTATCGACAGTCGCAGCATGGTCAGCTGGCTCTGCGTCAGCCAGCACTTGGTTGACATGTTCAGCAACCTCTTCATCCGTGATAGCTTTGAGGTTCATATCGCCCACCATCTCGTTGGCGTCCTGAATATTAGCCTCTGGAATCGGCTCATTGGAGCCCAATATTATTAGTTTTTCCATGCTCACCCCGAAGATCAGATTATTGTCCACTTTCCTTAATGGCTCAATACATTCTCTGTTAAGCCTCATAAGGTACGAAGAGCTCTGTGGTCCTCTTAGGGTTTTTCTGCACGAATAACTACCCAGCCAGTCATTTGTATCTCAGGATTTTGCCATTGCAGAAAACTAATCCACTTGCCGCTGTCCATATCTATCTTCGGCAGCCAAATGTGGGCCTTAGATTTCCTATGTACCTCATCGGCCGGGATTAGATTGACCTTCAAACCCTCCCAGGCACTGCCGAGCTCAGCTGGGCACTTGCCGAGAAATTCCCTACAGAACTCATATTTAGATTTGAAAATCCGACAACCCCCCAGCGACTCACCGTGGCTTCGTTGACAAGCGCAACCTGAAGGTGATCCCTGGCCAGCTCACCGTACCCTCGCTTCACCCACGTTTCTTCTTACTGGCAGTACTTTTTGTGCCAGCCCTGTTTCCAGCAGGTCCTGTTGTAGACTCTTCCTTAGGTCTACTTCGTTTAACGGCCTCAGGTTTCTTTGTATCACCAGGAGCACGTCCTCCTCTGCGATGAGAATGTTTTCCGATACATCTCTTCTTTTTTTTTGGTTTTTATTCATTTTATTATTGTTCCCACGAATAGTGGGTAAGGCACTCATAAAAAAGCGACCTTGTCCAAGCATCGGTTCTTTAAGCACTACTGGCCATTCTTCCATCGGCACGTATATCTCTACGCGACTGGCTTATAGAGCTTTGAAGAGAAGAGGAAGGAATAGAGTGGTCGGAATATATAGGTAGGATTTTAGGGCGGGAAAAAGAAATTGGTTGGGTTCGGGACGTCGGTGCGGGCATCTGTGCCGGATGAGCAACCGTAGACTCCAGTCCTACCCCTCTTAGTTTATGGTGCTGTGCCCGGTCACCATTATGACTGACATAGCACCACCTAAGCCCCATTCCCAGCGACAAGGAGATCGACATGATTAGGAGATAGTTTAATAAATCACTGATCACCACTTCATTCAAACTTGGAAAAAAAATACGCCCGCACAGGCTCCCGAGTTTTAGTTTTAGGGTTTGGACTTCATTTCCCTGCATGGTGGGACGACGATGTTGTCACACAATGAGGAGGACCTACAGTTATAACGGCAAATGGTTATACTGAGAAGCCAAGTATCCAACCCTGGAATTGTCGAGTTGTCGGGCTTACTTATAGCCACTTAACTATGACAGTCGTTAGCTATCGTTAGCAAAAATTTTACCTTAATTTTAAAAAAGGGGGCGAACTATCCTTTGCTAAAACAGCCTTTATGAAGAAAATAACTCATAAAACCATAAAAAAATATATAACCCTTAGAGATTTCAAACTTGAATCTGTACTCTCCTTGGTAACCTTTCCTTTGTATACATATTTTATCCCTTAAGCTAATATTTACTTTCTTAAAAAAAAACCAACAGTGTTGTCAGTGTGACACATTGAAAAATAACTAAACATCTAAAAACGAATAGCATATTTTTAAATTTATCATAAGCACATGTGCCAAATTAAATTAACAAAGCTGCTAAGTACGTAACAGATAAAGTGGTTAAAGAAAAATGTGTTAAATAGAGAGGCAGCTACGCAAGAAAATAACAAGTTAGAAGCTAAAGTGAAATTATGTAAAAAAACGTTAAATTGGCAAAGGAGGCTCTATGAAGAAAATATGTGTAAACATAACAGAAGCTATATATCAAAGCAAAGAGTGCATTGAATATATGTTAGTGTTTTAATTACTGCCACAGTTATAATGAAGAAAAATTAACAAAAAATTATGCAATAAAGGTATTCACAAAACTGATGTGATAAAGAATTTTTAAAAGCTGTTTATAATTACAAAAATTTGGTAAGGGTATTCATGGAATGGCGCTTTTATCAATTTTCATTTTAAATAATTGCGCTTATTGGTATTAGCAGTATTTGCAGTGCCTCTCAAAAATTTGCTACAAGAATGTGTTCTTACATTTTATGGCATAGTTCACATGTCAAAACTAAAAGTTCTATGAATACCCTTTTTATTTTTATATAAAAAAATACACATCAAATTGTTAATTTAAAAGGCCAAAGTATGTCAAAATACTACTTCCAGTAACTTTTTATAAAAAAAACCGCCCCTCCTATTATAGGTTTTAGATTTTAAGCTCTCCCGAAAGTATTTGTTTTTAAGCTAAATACATAGTACACGTCCTTTCACTGTCCAATATACGCGCTTAGCGTCACTTATTTGATATGCTTTGTACACACATTAAGTAAATAGTCTTACAATTAGTTTTGTATATAAATTCTAAGTTTTTGCAGCTTAAATTATAATATACTTTTATAAACATATATATGTAGATGTATCATTGTATGTGTGTAACTATTCTTCATTACTTACATAAATATTTAATTGTTAAATGAATACTTGCCATT